TAGATTCTCAAATACACCATTTAATTCTCTTAAATCTATCAAAAAAGACTGAGTTGAAATTGAGGAGATTTAGCTTAAGCACGAAAACTCTTTTACTTTTATTTTACTTCCAGACATGGCTTAAAAAACGTTTTGTCAGAGGCTTAAAATTTCACTTTATTCAGCAGTCTAAATATCCACCAGTGTTAAAAAGACAATTTTATGCCTTCCCTCTCCGTTTTCTCAGACATGACATCAATGAGTGCTAACATTAAAAATAAAAAAGTTCATCTCATTTTTCCTTCCATTTTTTAAATAAAAATTAAAGTAAACCTTAATTTTGCATTAAGATTCATTAATCAGCAAATGTCAATAATCTCTCTAACTTAATCAATAAAACACGCTCCATTGAAATTGTGCGTGAATGTTCTTCCCCCACCCACCACCCTCCACCCCACCCCCACCCCCGCATCCCTCTGAATTATTTAATTTCTTTTAAAGTTAGCAGTAAAATGCAGTGAAAAATTAATCACACTGCTGAATGATGCGCTTGCATTCTTACTGCCCATGATACTGTGAAATTGATTTTTATTAAAGATTTATGGAAAAATCCTGTAAATTGAGAATTCAAGGAAATCAAAGAAGGATGAAACCAAAGCAAATGTTTTAAAGCTTTAAATTTTTTATTGTATAGAGTTGGCCCATCAGATAGACTACTTTTCAGGGTTGAGATCATTATTGTTCATTTTAGTGGTCATTGTAAATGCTCACTCGTGGTTCTGTGGGAATTGACTCTTTGTCATGACTTAAATTTCTAATTTAACATTTATTTATTCACATCAAATGGCTGACGTTTTGATGGTTATCATTAGTCCTTTAGCTGACTTCGGGCTTCACAGAGAGGAGGAGGAACATCAAAGTGACAAAAAGTCGAGAGGGGACAGAATAATGATTCATAGATGTAAAAGAAACAGACAGCCACAAAGGTAGAGATAAGGTAAGGTTTGTACCGTGGAAGGAGTCGAATATAACATACAATTTTGTCTGGTCATGGTAGTTTGAATTGAGAAGTCAACTGCCAGTTTATTTACTCTTTTGCTGTATGAGTATACGTTGCCTAGGGTGCACCACGTGGTGGTAAGTCTATCGTAGACCCCTCTATTTTACCATTGATAACTGAGCCAAAGTAATGCTCATATTTGAAGTTCAGCACATTGCTCTCCTACAATAGCTGAAATGGACGGGGGTAACTTTCGTCGTACAGTTCACAAAAATTCATTTTTAATTTTATATCTTCATATTTTGCAACTTCGCAAACGAAGATTATGTGGATTTGAATTATTGGTGCAATTTCGATAGACATGTACGTCTCAATGGTACCTTTTCTTAGTTTAAGGCAAAGCATAAAGAAGGACTCTAATGGGACTGAAATATGAGAGAGTGATAGGACACAAATTTTGATAGGTTCAAAGCATCAAAATCCTCCGAAAGTTCATTCAGAAAACAAATAACTCAAATAATAGTAATAATATTAGGTTAAATTTGATTAAGCCTGGTTAGAAAAAACCACACTTATACCATCTGAGAGCTACGTATCATCGAAGTGAATAAGTATGTATTACATTTCAATAGGAATATAGAGATACATGTTAAATTGTATAATCCAATTTACGACCCATTCGACAGACAATTTTTTCTTGTTAGAAGAAAATTCCTTTATGCATGGTTGGTTACTTCCACATGCAACCTAGCAGTTTGCGTTTAAATGAAACGTGGCATATGTGGGACTTTCACGCGTTCAATCAATCAATCTGAATTTTAAGGTCATGAAATAAATGACTCTGTATCCAGCATGATTGAAAGAAAAAAAACGCGTGCCATTTGTTAAATTTCTAAAGAGTATATTGCTTTTTAAGAAAGCTTATTAAATAGTTTAGCTTTTTCGCATGATAACATGAAATTGACTGAGTACTTCGAGAAATTCGAAAAAGTATTTATTCTCAGTGAAGCAGAGATTGAATGCTTGTCATACTTCACATCTTTATTTTAAATTAGTTATTTATTATTGCTTTTTTAGGGGAAAGCAGAAACCATTTTGACGGAGAAATAAATAGAATACGTAGTTTCAGCTTCCAACTTTTAAACTAATTAATATATTGAAAAAATGTGGATTAACATGACTGAGTAAAGAAAACCGTGAAGAAAATGCAAAAGAATTGCTTCTTTAAAAAATATATTTTTGTCACATTTTGTTATATAGAAATGCTGAGACAAATGCAATACATATTTCCTCAAAAGGAAAATGATTTAAAAATTTTCCATTTTGAATATTAATTTATATGTAATGTTCATTCCTATATAATAAGATTCATTTAATTTTTTGCACTTCTTATTGTCCAGCAATCGAGTAAGATTCCATGACAGTGCAAACATTATACAAATTATTAACAGAATAGCACATAGACCATTTTTCCTGGTGTGTTAAAAGGTGTTCAGGTTAACTCTGCTACCTTTGAAAGGCCAAACCAGTCTTATTTCATTTTCGTGATGCCAAGGAGATTGAAGGACCGGAACGTGACTAAATAATCGGTGGAATTGTGCTGTCTTGGAACACCCTGGCATATGAATTCTGGCTATGTCATCAGGGGCAATTAAATGGTTCATTTTCAGCCATAAACCTTTCCTCTACAATCTCATGCAAACTTCACAGAGGTCTGATTCTCACAGAAATTATTCGCGGATATAATCTTCTGATAAAGACACAACTTTCCCCAATGTCGAAGACACAGTAGACAGGACAACAGATGACTTGGCTTTCATCCACAGTTCAAAGGATTCCCCTCAGGTCATGTCAACTCAAGTTCTCCATCCTAGCACAGCCCTCGAATGTGCGTTCCCTTCCACAACTACTGAGGATGATATGATGTCGCTCTCTCTCATTATTTAAAAGGGGAGGTTGGATAGAATTCAGATATCCACGTCTTCGTCGTAGTTAGGCCCTGGGTAATGAATGATGACAGACAATTATAGGTCGTGGAATTCGCGGGTCCGTTGCCACAACAAGGGGAAATGTCAGAAGTTTTTATTTGATGGGCCATTGTAGAAGCATTAGATACTATCGAGAAAGGCACCAATCATTGTGCCGGAAATGCAAAAGTCCATTTTTGGAGAACAAAATTTTGAGACCAGGATGAGAGATTTATAGATATTCGAATTAATATTCGTTAATGCACATTTTAAATTTCTTCATAATTGCTTCATTATCATTAAATTTTTTTCTTTTCATTATTATTCTAAAGAATGAATTGATATTGATATTATCACATTTCTTTCCGAATTTTTAATTATGAAGGCGTAATAAAATCCCTAATGGTGAAATTTACAATTTGAATTAAATTGAATCAAAAAATGCATGCTTTTATCCATTTTTAATGAGAGAATAAAATAGATTCTCAAATAGTAGGGTAGGTCATAATGACTCTATTTACAGATTTTTGAAAAATTTTCCCTACCTATGATACTTTACTTATGAAACGAATAGGTCTTAATCCTTTAATTCGTTTCAAAAATATCATAACCTAAAAAAATTCATTAATTTGAAAATTAGAGAAAAAACAGTGTTGCGTGCTTGCGCCTTCTAAGTCAAAACGGCAAGGGTTAATTAAGTATGCACAAATTAAATTAGACTTTAGCACTATTTTTAGCAAAGTGTTGCACGATAAAAGCCAGTAAGTTGTATCATTCTTTGTAATTAAATATTAATAAATGAGAATTAAATTATTTAGCTTGAAGAAATCAACTGGAATGAGGAGCAGAGAATCTGTCTACGCTATCAAGGTCGGGCAAAATAACCTCGCACAAACTAGAATGTTCTGGATAGAACAGTTGTGCTATCAATCGCGTAACGAGCAAATGCGGTTGTGTGTGTGAAAGACCTTCTCATTCAAAATTTTGAACAAAATGATTAAGCTTTTCAGCTGGCCATAAATTTTAATAAACTCCACTCACTCAACACTTTATGGTTCCGTGACACTGTTGATGTGGGTTAGCTAATTTCGGAGCACTTTTATCAGGGAGAATTGCTGAAGTCTTGTCAAGTCCTATTTGTGTAATATCCGCCATCTGACTCATAATTCCTTTCAGCCTACACGGCCAAAGAACAGCTCAAAAAACGGAGAGCCTTCCAAAGAGCGCATATTACTTTCAATTTTGCATGTTCTTCCAACAGTGTTCTCTCATCCCTACCACCTCACACAGTCAGCCTTGTGTACATCACGGCTTTATATCCCAGTCCCCCAACCTTTGAAATTGGAAAGATTCTTCCCACGTGGACGACTTAGGAAGACTGCATTTTCAAGGAAATAGTTTTGCCTATGATTAGCAGTAACTTTCTATTAATGATAGGGAAAGAGAGACATACTTAAAGCGTGAGTCTAGCTGAATGTTCGTTTCATTCTTGAGCTTGCTCATATTTTCCCAAATCAATCAGTTAGTTAAAACAAAAATTAAAACAAGTTTTGAAAGCTTTATTGTAATAACCAGGGCCAATTGGTAGCAGATTAAATTATGCAAAGCTATTTGCTTGGGAAAAGTCACTCTTTTGTTATTTTAAACAATTTAATCTATGGACATTATGGAGTGCACAAGCGACTTACCTCCAGGTGGCGCCCCCTGCGGCAACGCGTACTCATTCGCAGAAGTCGGTAAACCAACAATTCATTTCTCCCTTCA